GAAGAGCAATTAAGAAAAGAGTTTAAAAATTAAGGCGCAGAAAACATGATGAAAACAAAAAAATTCACATACCACATCATTTATGGAATGATTCTGAAGCATGGGGATGAGAGCATCAAGCTTCCTCGCTTTGTTGCCATTGATCAAAGGATGCAGGAGATCATCACGAACAACATAGAAAGAAGAGCCCTTGGATTCCTCTTGATTGAATCTTGGGGGTAGGATTGGGTTAGGGTTGATGGAATAGGATAAGCTTGGGGAGTTAGAGAGGGATATCTTATGGATTTGAGCGGCGGGGTTCGAGAGCATCCAGTTTCTGTTGAGGAGTTCAGAGTTCGAACACTTGGTGGACATTGATTTGGATGGAGCGAGGAATGAAGAGAGTGAGAGTGACTGGGGGAGGGGAAATGGGGTTTTTTTAGGGCACAACGCCATTTTCTCTTTGGGTTAGCTCCGGGTGGAACTGTGATAATATCAGATCCATTAATAACAGGGTAACTAATTTTCACAGAACCCCCTTAAACTCTGGGGCGCTTTGGACAGAGACCCAAAAACTTGGTAAATCAGAGAAATCTCGGACTTGTCTCATTCTTTAACGTTCTTAATTCATTTTTGTCACCTACATAAGTATAATGTTACCTTCATTAGTGTGCGTTTAAAGCACATTTAGGATGGTCATCAAGTTTCATTGTGTTTGATTCGTGACATACAACGCAGCGAAAAAAGCATATCATGACTATTAATCAAAATTAATTAAAATCTAGAATTATACCTGAAACGTTCTCTGAATTTCTATAATAATCTGATCCGAGATCAATCTGAAAAAGCTTCCTCAAGAGAAAAACCTCCAATTGAAATCCACCCATCATCAAAAAGAGGAGCAATACTGGGAGATAGGTTCTCAAATTTTTATTTTTTCATATTATCTTCATAAGATTTTCTGTCTCTTCATAAGACTACATATGAACTCTATTTATAGGATTAGACTAGTCTTAGATATTTTAATTTTAAACAATTCATAATTGTTCAAAACTCTATCCATAACAATTAAAAATAGAATAGATTTGTTCAAAAACTTTATCCATAACAATTAAGGATAGAACTAGATTTGTTCAAAAACTTTATCCATAACAATTAATGATAGTAATATATTTATTCAAAAACTTTATTCATAACATTAAGGATAGAAATAGAATTGCATTGTATGTATACCTCTTCTAATAACATTAGTGAGACCAATTGGGTCCCATATCGATAACAAATTATTAATCAAATTAATAATTTTAATTTAACAATCAAATCCCTATCCGACCAACTGTTCATAAAAGCTCTTTCATAATATGAGATTATTTATTAATAAATAATATCTTACATTTAGTCCCTTCCAGTATTATTTATTTTAGGTAACTCTTTTAAGAAAGACAACTCACCTATTTGCTCATGCCTAAATTGCAATTCCCATGAACATAAATAAAAATCATTTTGAAACATCAAAATATTTTATTTTTTATAAGAAAGTAAATTTAAAAAATATTTTTAAAACCACCTGCCGACAAGAATTTAATAGCGTCATGAGAATGCATAGTAAATTAAGTCATCATAATGAGCATACTGGATCCTATCTAGACATGCATCCATCATTTTCCTAAATGAAATTTAGCAACCCAATATTTCAGGTTGTGTAGCGCTTATTAAACAAGCTTAACCATCACATCAAAGCATACTAAATTATCAAATCGAAAATAACAATATCATCAAGTCAAATGGACCAAGTAACAATTTGAATTCTCTATTCCTTAGGTGACTCGTCCTAGAGAATTCAAATACGGTCTAGTGCTACACACATCATAATGTGTGCTTATGACATACACCCGCAGAATCCCCATTCTCGGTCTTTGAGACCAACCACCACATCTTATATATCGGTGTCATGCATAATAACCTGTTATAACAAAGTTATCATCTACTAGTTATAGGTTAAGCACAAATTTAAGAAAGTTTCTAAGTTAGATCATATCTCCAAGCAAGTGATCATCACAGTGCATGATCTAACAAAATAACTTCTAAGGATATATAACAATTATATAAATAATACCTAAATTATATGTGCAACAATTGAATTTATTAATATTACAATATTATTAATTTATTACATAAATTGTATTGGATATTCAAGGGCAAATTATTATTACTATTCCATCACATTGCTCACTCTAACAAAGCTTTGAAGTATTACCTAAACAGAGAGAGAGAGAGAGAGAGAGAGAGAGAGAGAGAGAGAGAGAGAGAGAGAGAGGAAATATACTTCCTCATTAAAAAGTAAAAAGGAAATATACTTCCTCATTAAAAAGGGAAAAAAAATGCTGTTTCTATCACTTTTTTACAGCATGAAATCATACTTCCTCATTAAAAAGGAAAAAAAATGCTGTTTCTATCACTTTTTTACAGCATGAAATCAATTCTTTACTTCAAAACCAATACAAAACAAAGTCAATAGAAATTCTCCATTCGGATAAATTGCTTTATTACAATAACCACTACCAAAGCTCAGAAGTATTTGGAGACTGAAACACTGTTAACAATCATCCTGGTTGTGATTGATTTTGACTTTCATCCTCGAGTTGAGCCGGCCAATAAAACTTGACCCATGTTGTAATCTCCAAGAAGAGAGCTACACAAGCCAGACCAATAAGAATTCCTATACAAACCCACTTCCATGTTGCAGGAGGCCTTAAGATTGCCAAGCCCTTGAAGATGTTCACAACTGCAAGGGCTACCAAGGCGTAGCCTAAAGAATGATGGTAAATTCTCCAATACTTGCGATACTTATCGTCTCTATTGGCCTTTATCCATAACGCTGTTATCTGCGTAAACAACAAAGAATCAGCGAAGATAACACCTCGGTAATAAAACGAAGAAGTATTCAATACGCAGACTTTACCTGCAACGTAGCGAGGCAAAAGATAAGAATCCCTATAATCTTATGGGATGTTAAGGTTTTGGAGTGTCTGGAACCATTTAGCGATAAACCGATTCCCCAAGCAGCAGTTCCAATTGAGTATCCAGCAAGTTGGATTGATACATGAACGACGAACCATCTCTCCAGTTTGAAAGGAAAAGATCGGAAGTATCTTGTGATCATAATTCCGATAGATGGTAGGAAACCCCAGCCAGTGAAACTCAGTACACCATGAGCCTGTCCATGTCGTAATCAATAATCGAAGTCTCATTCAAGCAAGATTACTTGATTTTTACAAGAAGCACATAAAACTTGGTTCATATCCATCTAAAAAGTTTTAGAGATGGTTCATAATAAACAATTTTCGAGTCCCAATTGAAGATTGCATTGACTTATCTGTTTGTCTTTTTGGCCAAGATCAATCGCGCCTGAGTTCTTCTTCAGAACAATCTGGCTCTTTTAGTTCGCTTTGCCTTTTGAATTGTGTAATGTTAACTATCTATATCTAGCTTGAAATCGTGGCTTTAGTATGATTGTTCATGCTAACCTTCTACTTCTCAGTTTTAGGGAAACTTACTTTAACATAATTAAGTTGCAGAGGAAAACATTATTTTGACAAGTCATCTCGAGATACGTAACATTAAAATGTAATAGCATTCTAAACCCTCTTTGACCTTTTTTTAAATACATAACATTAAAATGTAGCTTCTTCAAAGAGGTGCAGCCTTTTCATGATTCACAAATTTGTCAATTATGGATCTTAAAGAGTTCAGGACATCTCGAAAACTAGACATTGTGTTAAAGAACAAAGCACATATTGTGCAAATCTCTCGAAAGCAGTTAACCACCACTTACAGTTTTAAGCCGCTCTTTGCCTTTTCCAAGCTTCTCTTTGTTTGTGATGTTATTCATAGCGGTGATGTGTAGGTTCCAGCCGAGCTCAGCGGCAAGGGGTTGGAGCTTCTTGACGCCAGTAATGTTTTTGGTCGTGGATGAAGTAATGAAGGAGAAGCTTTCATCGCATTTGTACAATGATTGTGTTTGGCAGAATCCGAGGGAGGAGAAGATAAAGAGCAGGAGTGGATAAGCAGGGAGCATGTTTTGGGAGAGGAATGACAATAAGTAAGTCAAGAAGAAGAGATGATATAATAATGGAGAAATTGAGAGAGAATGAAAATAGAATCCCTGACAAGAATATTTCCTTAGGGGCGACTCTGGCAACGGGTGGGTTAAGGAGATTTAAACCTTCTTAACCCGCCAAACACAAAAATTCTATACAATGTTTAAAGTGAGTCGACCCTCTATGAATTGCCAAACGCAAAAGATACAAAAGGATAGCTAACCCTTGCAGAGGGATTAAAATGAATTAACCCCTCAAAATGAGGAGTTTACTAATACTCCTATTTAGAAGGATTAAAAGTTAACACTTCTATTTATAAAAAAAATAGTCAAAATTCTCATTATTCCCAAACACTAAAAGTAATCGCAAGTGCTAAAATAAAACTTATTTAACGGGTTAATAATTTAGTCTTTTGAATTATTGAATGGGCTAACTACGTTAATCATTCTCTTTAATCCGTCTTTCTTAACCCTTTGCCAAATGGGACATTAAAGTGTTATTGATTGCATGCAAGTTAGTTATGCATAGAAAGAGTCCAACTGTATCTTATCGTCTCTTCTTCTTCTTAACTGCAAAGAATAAAAAACGTTCATCATAGCACTGTTCAACATTCTGTGAATTGTAGTTGGATCCCTGTTGGTGAATAATAGTAAAGTTACTATTCATCTTGCATCTAATCTGACAATCGCCACTGCTTCCTTCCTCTATGACTCCGCCTTTACTTAAAGTCATATTTCTCGTCAAAGACGCTAAAATAAAGATCGAGCGACTAAGCGAGCGATTAATCAATCAAGGGTCTTTTTACTTATTATTTCTACTGGCTAACCTCAAGGGTTTTTTTTTACTTATTATTTCTAATGGCTGACCCACCGAGGATTTTTATTGACTAACTCACTTAGGATTTCTACTTACTGACCAGCCTAGGGTGTTTCTACTGGCGTACCACCTATGGTGTTTCTACTAGCTGCCCGCCAGCCATGACTATACACTTTTCTGATTTCTAACCTCTTTTAAGTATTCTGAGCAAGAAAGCGGAGTGTCAGATATTATTGATAATTGGATAATAGTAGATCTAGTAGATATTATGAGATATTGCGAGACGTGATTAGATATGGTTTTATCTCATCTTTATTTTGTAATATCTTTCTAATCTCTATTTATGAGAGGTTAGGGTTATATGTATTTTAAAAAAATCTATATTTTCTATTCCTCTACAAATACAAAAGAAATTACTTTGGATATATGTTTACTTTGACATCATTCACTGATATAGTCCTATTTAAGTTCTTTTATCTAGAGAACTTGGTAGATTGACAAGAATAGGCTCTATTTCAGCTCTCATTAGCAGAATAAAACTCTATGCAGGCTTTGTTTCAGATCTGAATAGTTGCTTTTCACTTTCTCTTTTATGGCTTGATACCTGTCATTGCGCTAGGAGTTCTCACTATTTTAGTTATGGTGGAGGGAAAAAGCCATTTGATTCTTAGCCTACAAATAGAGGAAGCATATGGGAGAAAAAGTTGTAACATCTGATCAAGTGGGGCCAATGTTTCTTCTGATCAATTTAGAAATATTATAGTTTGAACCAAATGAAAGCATATAAGGAACATTACTTTTGTCCAAAGAGAGAAGCTATGATCTTGTTCATTGTTTTATAGGGCAACTGCAATTGTAGTAAAAAATAACAATAACTTTAGATAGTTAAAAGTAGTGTGATACTTCTTGTTAGCTGTAGACAGTTTAGTTATTTATTTCAGAGTAGTTTTTTGTAGGTAAATGCAAGTCATGAAGGATGGGAACTCAATTAAGATAAATGTTAAAATTTTCACTAAAGAAAGGTAAACATTCAAATTAAAAAAATCTAAATCAGGAAATGTCAAGTCTCTAATTAAAAACTCTGAGAATTTTAACCCTTTATTTGTCTGCCAGGTCTGGAAATTTTCAAGAAGCAGTGAGATTATTTCTAGCTATTTTTTAAATTGAAACTCAAGAATCCAAGAACAGCAAGAGGTAATAAACTAGAATGATGCTTAACATATTGAGCCTAATTCAGCCATTGGAGTAAGCTCGTACGACTGTCTGATCTCCTGTGGAATTCTTATTTAAGTAATTATCCTTCTTAAAAAAAACTAAAAGATTACATTAAAAAGAAACTTATCATGCTTATCCTTCAAGAAAGCTACAGCCACCTGAAAATTTTAGAAGTTCAGCAATAACTCTTGAAAAACCTCTAAATTACTTAAATAACTTTGTGTTAAAGCAGGAAAAAACTCAATAAAGATCTCAATCAGCTGATGCAATTGACCAGCACTCAGCCCAGAATCACATGAATGAATGTCAAATATATAGGGTATAAAAGCACCAAAGAGAAGATCATTTATGCAAGCAGCCATTCTACTTCAAAGATTGTAAGGTTCATTCTCTTTTGGATCACGTAATTTATGTCGACTACTGGTATACTAATATGCATGCATTTACCTAATTATGGGGAAAAAACCTCACATAGCATATTTAGAACACAATTTGAAGGTACAGAGTATCGAGAATAGTCGATGCACAAGGAAAAATGGTACAATGTCAAAATCCTATTCGACGAAGTTCTGATTAGTTGTTCTGGCAAGAAAGCGGATCAACTTTCCAGGCAACGGGGAGTTCATGAGAATAAATAATTAGACTTATGTATGCATCAAATGATCAGCTCAATTGTCTAACAGCTAATGGCTTTCATTTTCATTTACAGAAAGTTGGTGTGACAAGAGATTAGGAGTTGTATATCGTGGATATAGTTATCCTTTGAAGTTTTCATGCAAGTGGCTAAAGAATGTGCACATAGTACACCATATAGAAAATATTTTGATAGTTGTGCATGTCTCTCTGTGATCAACATCAAACATCACTCAGAAATATTGTCAATAACACTAAATAAAGTGTGTGTATGCACGCGTGTGTATGCTAAGAATAATGTTCTTTATGCCTTGTAACAATATCCATGTTTTTATACAGTTGATATTCTTCTAATCTACTTTACAAATAGACATAAGTTAAACATTTGGAGTATTATCACTAACCAATGTCTTCATTAGGATTACATAGGCATACAATAAGATGTGTCGAATAAGTATAAATGTATTGATATGTTGACTAAACACAATGCACATACGAAGAATTGATATGTTTTCTCCTTTCTACTCGATCTTCTTCGTTCTAAAAATGGAAGCAAAGCCTATATCTGTAAAACTTGTAAAAAGTAAATTATTCTCTAAGTTTCTCTCAAAAAATAAAATAAAAGAACATAATGATTAAAAAAACTTTCTACGTGTAATAGTATTGGCCTAATTCTGATCCAGATCCATCATCTACCAACTAATGAACCTTTCAGTGTACACAGTAAAGTCTTAACAATTCAAGTAATTAGACTTTCAAAATATCCAATAGCAATAGTTAACAAATTCTTCACGTACGTCCACCCTATCGCTTAAGCAAACAAAACTCTTTACAAAAATCCCTTATAAATGCCCATGCAAAGCTCTCATCCTTCATCAACCAGCACAAGAGAATGACAATAATAACAATGATGACCAACATGTTCATCATCATGTCATTTTCCATTGCTATATCCACTACTACTCTAGCCTTCGATCTCCATAAGAATGTGAATAGTCCAGATCGCAGGCTAGCGTCGATGACATGTGATGTATTTCCAAGGGTGTGTAGGGTTGCAGGGAGTCCTGGTCCGGATTGTTGCAGAAAGCAATGCGTGAATGTGGCGACCGACGCACAAAACTGCGGTCAATGTGGGAGAAGATGCAGGTACGGCGAATTTTGTTGTAGAGGGAGTTGTGTAAATGTTATGTTCGATGCGAAGAATTGTGGCTGGTGCAAGAATAAGTGTGAGAAGGGAGGATACTGCCGATATGGGATGTGTAACTATGCATAAGAAAAGGAAAGGAAATCTCATTTGAATTGATGCATTGATTGATTGTAAAACTTGTAAGTGTGATTTATATAAAAAATTATGGGTGTTATTTTATTGAAGGTAACTTGTGCGTATAAAAGAGTCATCGAATGTGTGGAGAAGTGTAACTACAAAGGTAGACTTTGTTAATGTCTGCAAATTTGGTTAATCAGTTGAACATTTACAATATTGGCAGTGAAATAAACCAACATTGATTCAAAAAAGAAAATAAAAACATGCATAAAATGAATCAGTCTATGTAGAAATCGTTGTATGCATAAATTTTGTTGTGTGTAAGTATGTGAGTAAATTAACCAAAAGAGATCAAGAGAAGTCGAAGTTCGGAACGGTTGGGACAAACCCGAGGCCCAATAGAGCAAGGCCCCAGCGAATAGTAGAGCAGAAGTAATGAAATGAACACACAGATTTACGTGGAAACCCCCTAAATAAATTTAGGATAAAAACCACGCGCAAGAATAGAAAAATCCACTATGAGGAAAAGTTAGGAGTTAGAATCTCTCTCAAGGAGAACTCTCTCTATTTTTATCTCTTTCTCTCTCCCTCTCTCTTTCTTTTCACTCTTAATTGGAGACACTGTGATGATCTGAAGTTAACGTCAGTGAGAATTATATATAGGTGAGTTTGTAGTAGGTGCGCACTGTTGCTATAGTAGCAGGTAGGTGAGTCTGCGTTTGGTGATTACTATAACGTGTAGGTGATTACTGTAGATACAGTAACTTTCTATCAACCTCCCACTTAAAGATTTGATTGAGTGTCAATCATATCTTCACACTATTCTTTCTATCTTGTCATCTTCATGTTGCTCACGTCTCCGACAGACCACAAGAGGATTGACACTAAATAAATTTATCAATATTAACTGCTTCTGTCAAAAATCTACGATGTTATTTTTGGTGTGAATTTTCTGCATATCCAATGTTCCTTCTTCCACTTTCTCACGAACGAAGTGTACTAAACTCAAATTTGTTTTGTCTTTGAATGAAAGACTGGATTTCTTGCCAAATGTAAAGCACTCTGTGTTAGACCCTAGAGGGGGGGGAGTTGATTAGGGTCTTATGCTAATCTAATCCGATTTTATACCAATTAAAAATAATTAATA